TTAATAGCATTCTTATTAACAAAAAATTCAGTAATACTATCACTTTTTGACTATGATACGTGAATAAAATATCCATATAGAGTATATGTCGATATCCATATGTTGATATAAGCATTTATTGCAAATGATGTCTTCGTTTTTACCCGTTCATGTATAAAAGAAAATGGAAGTTTTAATCTCTTGTTTTGAAGCCGAAACATAATATAAAAACAAACATCAATTTTCCATATAAAAAACATGCGCAATCCTTAAATTCCTCACGTATAAAAGAGTCTCTAATTTTGAGTACACTCATCACGTTTAAATAACAAAACAGAATTTACAGGACAGGAATCAGAGACACCTCGCGATAATGAAATCCAAAAGTTCGAAGCGAATCCAAGCGTTCAAAGCGCTAGTTTACGTCGCGCGGGAGAAGAAAAAAAAATGGTATGAGGTAATCGATGCGTGCTATGTATATACCGACACGTGCGTGTGCAGCCACCGCGCTCAATTGACGCTCGCGCTAATTTTAGAGCGCACCGCGGCGCCGCGCGCGAGCAAGATTAATCCCGTAGACGCGGTGAATTAAGGCCGATCCGTATCTTAAGGGCAGACACCGAGTTTGGTATGAAGGGCACGACGAGACTGCGCGCGCGCGAGAGAGCCAACGATCTAATTAAGCGGCTGTGCAATTAGATTTTGCCCCGCGGATGTCCCAGTTTAACACATCGGTAGGTATGTATGTATAATACTATGCGATATGACGAGCAGCGAAGAAGAAGTTGCGAAACCTACGTTGTACTTCGTACTTCGAAATTTTCACGTCAATCGTGACTAGGTATCGTTAATTGCTAATTTCGAACAGGTTTCTGTTATCAATCAGCCGTTGTCTGATTTGACATTCTCATTATTTAGTATTGACTACGTTATTTAGTTTTGATTAAATTTTCACTGTTAAATAACTGATCTTTGGGGAAGAGAATACGTTCCAAGATGATCACAGCTTTAATCTTGAAATTTTATTTTTCTCCTTTATTTAATATCTTATTTTTCTTTATTATTTTCCTCTATTATTAAACTATTAAGAAAATATTCGCATTAATCACGGGAAATTAACATCAATCATAGACCGGTTTTATACGATCGGTATTTAATTAACGCGTTCTCGTTATTTACTTACTAGCTAACCGGTTGTCTCGAGAAATCGATCATCGAGAAAGAATCTGTGTATAATACTTCCAGATTTAACTTATTAAAGATTTTCGCTTATCTCAACTAATTATTCAGTTAAATAAAATGCTTTAATTGTAATTAGAGATATCAAACTGGTTTCTTAACACGTCAATAATTTAAACGATATTCTCGTTATTTATTACTTAATTTTCATTTATCGGTTAAATTATAAGTTTTTGATCTTGCATAAAATTTGCAATTTCCAAGAAAATAATTTACATGATATATTTTCACACATTTAATTATCTTTAAAGTTTCATTTCTTGTTAAACAATTAAAAGCATTTTAATATGAAATTCATAACTATAAAAATCATAGCATATTCAGACATATGTTGATTATGAAAATCTTGCAATGTATGTGGAAGAAACAGTGAGTAGTTGCTCCATTCTTGCGATTTAACTGCATCGATATCTCGCTAAAAGTATCGTGGTCGAAACTGAGCTCGTAACCAAGCCGCGCAATAAAAATTCGTTACATCTCTCATATAAGATACATTTTTATGCCACTTTCGGGCGTGCGTGCGTAGATATAAAATGTTTCCGCAGAGCGCGTAGTATCTTATACCGGTTGCACTTAGATGCTCGATTTAACTGAAGTGCAACTACGCATAATAAAGAGTAGCTCGCTCTCTTTTTCTCTCTCGTATCCAGACGAATACTATATAAATCACGCTAATAAAAGCAGGAAAAGTACATGCTCTTGTAATAACGCGGTAATTAGATTTATCCGAAGGAGTCGGGACGTCCTGTATAAAGTAAAATAATGGAAAATAGAGTTGGAGCAACAAGAGTTGCAATATTCATGAAATATTGCACCGTTTCTATCGAGATAGGAACTGATTCCTCTACCGTGGATAGTTATGTTACCCAAATCGAACGCGGGATGGTCGAGGGTTAAGGTTCGCCGCGTGCTTCGAATTTCAACGAGCAGCCGCGCGAGTATCTCTCTTGATCCTCCGAAATAAAATCACTGCGCGTTATCGCCGTTAACGATCCGGATAGAATATCGAGGATCGCGTAACCGCGCGGCCGGTTATATACCTCGGCACGGTCGCAATTTGCAGTAACTGTTTCTCGGAACGAAACAATTTTTTTTTTTTCGCAGATGCACATTTATTAGCGCGACCGTGCGCGTCGATACGGACGGCGCGGAAAATATATATATTGCAAGGTTCGTAAATAATACCATATGCCGTCTTACGATTCTGCCCGACCAACGATTACAATGAGAATGAACGGAGCAGCGGCGGCAGATAATTCATGAAAGAAATAAAAATAGACGATCCCAACGATCACGATCACATACGGTTTGCTCGTAAAGCTACGAACGAAGAAAAATAAACTTTTAAATGACACCGTTCAATCTCCTCCGAGCTCGCGCGCATTTCAAGCCGCTATATCGAAACCAAGTATCCAAGTATCAGTTTCATTATAATCTGTATGTTTCACAAAATTTTTAAGATTAGAAAAAAAAAAATTATCGCAGGCCAATAAAAGTTTAAAAAAATTATAAGATACTACCAAGATATATTACAAATTTTTATATAAATTAAAGTTTCGCTATCACTTGCGTAACACTTCTATATCAATTATTTGTTGCATCTAACGATAAGGCAGCTGCATTCCTAAACAGTCGCCTCGCTGATTTCGACCACGCGTTCGATGAGAGCTAAATAATCCCGGACGAGATTATTTCCGATACGGTATGCACGTCCAAACCCATCGTCGCTTATACAGGCCGTGGGCCGGTACAAATTGCCTCCTCCGCCCACTCGGGTGCCATTCTTAATTGCGGCAACCAGATCGATCATTCGGCGCGACCCGCGATCCCGCGCGATAATTAATATCCAGGCGTCGCGATTTACGCGACGTAACAATCGCGGCGGCGGCGGCGGCGGAGGAGGAGGAGGACGAAGACGGACCCCCTGGCGCAGCGAGGGCATCGTATCCGCGAGATCCGGTCGCGTGGCTCTATTAAGCATTGCGTTTAAGTGACTCCGGTAACAGAGAGCGAAGCGGCGAGCATCATCGGCGCTAACGAGCGCGCTCTAACAAGGCACTACTCACCGCCCACGCGGTTTTCAGGGTTTCAGGCCTCGCCGCAACGGCGTCGCCCGACGACTCCCACGGTGCAGCATCGACGTGGCGCCACGCCATTCTTTTCCACGAAACACGATTGTTGTGACAAAACTGTAAATTGAATATCGATCGCGTGTGCCCGAACTTACACGTTCGGTACGTTTCTGTGCCATGTCACCGGTCGTTAAGCTTGCGCGCCTCGAAAATGAGTTCCCGTGACCTGGGTGACTGGATAACGCGGGGGACGGATTGGCTTGGTGTCAATCGCGCGAGACAGTGATATAAGACAATAAAGAGAAAGTTTTGACATAAAAAAAAGAACACGTAAAATCAAAAATTTGATACTATTGTACACTTCATATCTTATCTTACCTTAATTTAAATTATTTCAAAGATCGCTTGCATTACATATAATCAATGTGAACTGCTCTCAAATATTACACACATTAAAAAAAATTAATTTAAAAAATAGCACGCCAGAGGATACGAGAATTGTTCGCTCGGAGTTAATAGGGCGGACATCGCGTGGGACCGATCTACGACGAACAAGACAAAATCACAGCGTATAAGCACGTAAAGAACCTGATTATTTTCGTGCTAAGCGCGTATTTCAAGCCGGTGTCACCTGTAGACATGCTATCGCGACAAAATACTATGTTCACGGCGCAAATTACGCTCCACACTGACGACGGAACAGGATAGGATCGATATACGAATGACGATTGACCTCGATCGAAGGCTGTAAAACTCACCGCCACCGTTCGCGCGCGTGATACAAACATACCCATAATTTTAAATGAAATTGCTGCTCATTACGCATTATTACCAGTCCGGAGAACAGTCGTACTTTTCAATTAACTGACATCGTTTTTGTCGCGCAGCAAAACTTCGCCCTACATAACTGTTCGTTATCCCACGTTCGCGAGATATGCAAAATATCGAATTGATCGCTTACTTTTAATAGCGCGATTAAGTGCGACACTGACGATGAGTACGCAAAAATATCGTTACACACGTGCGTTATGATTTGACGTACAACTCTCGTCGTTTGTAACAGCATAAAGTTGCGGTCAAATAAGTTAATAACAATCATAGTCGAGAATAATCGACACCATTAACAATATTGTGCATTAATTAAAATCAAATGAGTTAATTAAATGCATTAATTAAAAGCAAATGAGTATCATTTATCGCGCGTATTATCGGCATTTAATTGTTATTGAATGATTTCATAATCGATTTTTTTAATAAATAATTGTTACTAATTTTTACCGAAATCAATCTATCAAAATGCTATTATTTGCTTTCTTACACATATAATTTTAAAAAAATAAAAAACAATTTTTGTCAATTTTTATTTCTATATTATATGTATATATATATATATTTCTCTACCTTCAAAATATTTTTCTCAATTTTTATGATCGTTATTATGTCATTCCATTATTAATTCTTAATATTCACTATTTATCACTACTAATATTTTTTTATAATTTTTGAAATTAATCTAATATTACACATACATTTTTTCTAAATTTTTTACTGTAAGTATACAGCAATATTTTTGATTCAGTAAAAGTATTCAATATATATAGTTTTGACTTGATCACTTGTAAGATATGTGTACTAGAAAGACAACAACCACACAATTATTACGGTCTAATTGGCAGGATCAAATCACGAATGATCAAACGTGTCACTCACTGTGCATATCGTTGGCGTCTGTCCATGGACTTTGTTGCTATTGGAAGGAAGCTCCGGCCCTTTCGAAGCGTCCAGATGTGTACGAGATGGTACAGACGACGAAGTAGAAACGTTACTCGAATTTGGAACGTGACTCGTCGGTAGTGGCGTGCCAAGCGAAAGATCTGGGCGGAAAAACCACGTAGGCCACTGTAACAAAAAAATAAGCCATTTTTATATTTAAAATATTTGGTTTTCTTGCATATTTATATATCGTTTATTTTCGATAAAATATGCAAGTTTCCTATAAACATATCCATTCTGTGATTACGGACATTTTTCTTTTTTTTTACTAAATTTAAAATATATTTCCCATTAACAAGAAATTGAAGAGACATAAATTTTTGTGAAGTTCAATTTTTTAACGAAATACTTTATTATTTAAGGGAATTAATAGTAATCATTATTAATTGAATTGATTAAATAAAGATTGTGTGTATATATATATTGTCATTTAAAATAAAGTTTTTCTAACGGCTTACAAATAATATAAATTTCTTCCCGCGTAATATAGTTAAGGATTAATTTATAGCTAACGTTTCTTTTTGTCTCTTTTCTCTCTTTTTCGCTTTCGATCGCGTGTGGTAACGGTATTTTCGGCACAAAAGGAATAATGATGTGAAACGACATAGCGATTCTTATCCGAAATGTCTCAGTGGCGCGATAAAGCCAATTGACCGCACGAACAGAGACAAATCGGCCGTATTCGTCGACGTGTAGTTTACATGAAATTCGTTACGCCAGTAATTATTTTCTTAAGATTGCGTACACGTTGGCAAGCAATAGACTAGAGTCATAATGTATTTAACGTTATAGTCAACGTTTAAAGTCACCATTTATGATTCCATCATTGTTTCAAAATAAAATTTAATGTGACACTGTCATATCGAGGTATACAACTTTATTTAAATTTTGTTTATACTTGTTTAAACTTACGCATGTATCTAATTGACTCATTTCATTCTTTATAAAATAAATAAAATGTATGTTAACTTATCTTGACATGATATTTAATTCATAACCTTCTCGGCCAATTAATGTGCGTCTATCTAAATATATAGTCTAACAAACTATACCCAGGCATTAAACTTTATTTGCGATATGATATAGCGATCTATAATCAATTAAATTATACGTTAGATGTAGACAAAGGCATCTATTTGTGGCATTAAAAAGATATTCTTAATAGTATACTTCATGACTTGGGAACGTTATTGCAAAGAAGTAAAATTCTAAAAAATTTATTTATATTTTAAATTATCTGCGAAAAAAAGAGAGTTCAAGTAATTTCTTCTTAAAAATTTAATTTTATGACAAAGAATATATATATTACACGGGGTATTAAAAAAAAACATTTAATATTTATATGGTACATAAGACATACCATACTGAGTAAAAAAACCTTAGTAAACATAGGTGGAAAGCTCAACCGTTTCTGAGATATAAACATTTTTGTATGTTAGCATCATGATTGACTTACTGGTTTCTACATGTCGCATGCGACGTGAGAAGAAGATAATCTGTCTAAATCTTTATCTCGATATTTATAGAAGGTGTTCCACATGTCCTCCTTCCATTTCTATATACGCTTGGCATTTTCTTCTTACAGAATCGCGAACTCTCTCGAAAATTCCAGGTCTCTGAATTATTTAACAAGCATGCTGGATTCGGTCACATAATTCTTCTAACAATAAGTCATTTATCGGCGAAGAATACACTATGCTTTTCAAATAAAAAAAAGTCCAAGGAATATTAATTAGAAAATCGAGGAGGCTATGTAATTGATCCGCTATGTCCGCAATCGCCGGTTGATGACAACTGACTGATTGCCGGTGAAATCTTCTGTTATGATGTATGTATGGAAATTGAATGAGAACATTCAGAAAGCGGTTTATAAACACTGAGGTAAACATCGTATGCGACACATAGAAGCTAGTAAATCAATCATGATACTAACATACAAAAATGTTTATATTTCAGAAACGGTTGAGCTTTCCACCTATGTTTACTAAGGTTTTTTTACTCACTATGGTGTGTCCTATGGTTTTTCTTAACATCATATATATATTGTTCTATTCTGCTTGTGTGTGAATAACACTCCTTATAAATACTTAAACTGAGATTCTCGAACACAATAGAGAGGTTAATAAGCGAACTTGTCCATTTCATTGTTTATTACTTCGCGATATGTACGGAGTCTAAGGGCTCTACCATCGTTTTGGCGGATAAACGTTCCACTATAAGCGGAGCATTGAAGTGTCGCCGCGACTGAATATGAGCAGCTCCCTAAGATAGATGACATAAGCCTTTGACCCTGTAAGAAGCGCACTCGCCGAGCGCGAGGTCGTCGCGCGTGTGGTCCATTGAAAGTGTTCTTGTGGCGGAACCGGCCCGCTGAGAGAAGAGAGGCTCAGACGGAAAGAGAGAAAAGGAGCCTCTCTCGCGCGCTACTCGCGCGGCGTGTCCCGTTCACCGCGGTATATAAGGACTTTTTGATCGTCCTCGTCGGGGCCGCGACACGAATTCCACGCGATTAATCGCGGCCGCGTGCGCGATTCGATCCGCCTGTGTATCTCCTGTAAAAACAGTCTCGCTACCAGACTTATCATTCGTCGTAACGCACATTTTTGTGAACGTTCTTTTCTCACATATGCCTTTATTGCCGTACTGTATCTCGAAGATAAATGAGTAATCTTTGTAAAACATAAAAGATTCGACGATTTATATTAATCTTTTGATAAAATTTTTGTCAAAATCCAGTTATTCGCCAATAGTGCTTATCGATATAATATTTTCCTCGTTGAACTTCCGTTTATACCGTGGAAAGTCTTACATCACGCCGTTGCCGTAACACACCGTGTGTTTTAGTTATTTTCGTGCCAGAAGGTTTGGCATCAGCACCATCAGCCAGTATTGGTCACGACGCAGTGTGGAAAGTCAGTAACCGGCGGGTGGGACACGGGAGGTAGAACGTTTCTGAGATATAAACATTTTTGTATGTTAGCATCATGATTGACTTACTGGTTTCTACATGTCGCATGCGACGTGAGAAGAAGATAATCTGTCTAAATCTTTATCTCGATATTTACAGAAGGTGTTCCACATATCCTCCTTTCATTTCCGTACATGCTTGGCATCTTCTTCTTACAGAATCGCGAACTCTCTCGAAAATTCCAGGTCTCTGAATTATTTAACAAGCATGCTGGATTCGGTCACATAATTCTTCTAACAATAAGTCATTTATCGGCGAAGAATACACTATGCTTTTCAAATAAAAAAAAGTCCAAGGAATATTAATTAGAAAATCGAGGAGGCTATGTAATTGATCCGCTATGTCCGCAATCGCCGGTTGATGACAACTGACTGATTGCCGGTGAAATCTTCTGTTATGATGTATGTATGGAAATTGAATGAGAACATTCAGAAAGCGGTTTATAAACACTGAGGTAAACATCGTATGCGACACATAGAAGCTAGTAAATCAATCATGATACTAACATACAAAAATGTTTATATTTCAGAAACGGTTGAGCTTTCCACCTATGTTTACTAAGGTTTTTTTACTCACTATGGTGTGTCCTATGGTTTTTCTTAACATCATATATATATTGTTCTATTCTGCTTGTGTGTGAATAACACTCCTTATAAATACTTAAACTGAGATTCTCGAACACAATAGAGAGGTTAATAAGCGAACTTGTCCATTTCATCGTTTATTACTTCGCGATATGTACGGAGTCTAAGGGCTCTACCATCGTTTTGGCGGATAAACGTTCCACTATAAGCGGAGCATTGAAGTGTCGCCGCGACTGAATATGAGCAGCTCCCTAAGATAGATGACATAAGCCTTTGACCCTGTAAGAAGCGCACTCGCCGAGCGCGAGGTCGTCGCGCGTGTGGTCCATTGAAAGTGTTCTTGTGGCGGAACCGGCCCGCTGAGAGAAGAGAGGCTCAGACGGAAAGAGAGAAAAGGAGCCTCTCTCGCGCGCTACTCGCGCGGCGTGTCCCGTTCACCGCGGTATATAAGGACTTTTTGATCGTCCTCGTCGGGGCCGCGACACGAATTCCACGCGATTAATCGCGGCCGCGTGCGCGATTCGATCCGCCTGTGTATCTCCTGTAAAAACAGTCTCGCTACCAGACTTATCATTCGTCGTAACGCACATTTTTGTGAACGTTCTTTTCTCACATATGCCTTTATTGCCGTACTGTATCTCGAAGATAAATGAGTAATCTTTGTAAAACATAAAAGATTCGACGATTTATATTAATCTTTTGATAAAATTTTTGTCAAAATCCAGTTATTCGCCAATAGTGCTTATCGATATAATATTTTCCTCGTTGAACTTCCGTTTATACCGTGGAAAGTCTTACATCACGCCGTTGCCGTAACACACCGTGTGTTTTAGTTATTTTCGTGCCAGAAGGTTTGGCATCAGCACCATCAGCCAGTATTGGTCACGACGCAGTGTGGAAAGTCAGTAACCGGCGGGTGGGACACGGGAGGTAGAAGGAAACGATTTCAGGGTGGTCTGGCGAATGTCTCTTGTCGTTGGCTCGCGGGAGTTAACGCCAAAACCGAAATAACAAACTCCTAAAGTCCGTGAATTAACGCGCTACTTCGAGCCCAAGTTTTGACGCACGTGATATTTTCTGTTTATCGTAACGGTAGTCCGCAACCGTGGAAATAATTCCACATCGATCAACGGCATCAATGTGGATTTTATCTTAAACTCTCAAATCAAAGTATAGATCTTTAAATTTCTAAAATAACTTGTAGTTTGACGTTTGGCAACGCTAAATTGCGATCTCTTCTTCTCGATATCATTTCACCATATATTATATCGTTATCATATATTTTTCAAAAAATTAAAATATTAATAACCTTTAAAAAATGTTTCAATTAAAATTGTTCGAATCTAATATCAAAAATTAATAACTTGTTATGAATATTAAAAGAAAGAACCAAATGCAAATATATCGTAAAAGCTGTTGTTAAAAGTAATCAATGACTCTGGAAACATAAGCATTAGAGTCGAGATGTATTTTTATCTCGCGATGTACGATGCGAAGTATTATCACCATTTTTTCCGCGCTAGCATGAGAGTAGCAATGGTATTCGCGCGAGCAAGCCGCGTGTAATATCGGAC